GCCATTTGCTCTTTTCTCCTCTGCACCTCATCTTGATGAAGCACTGGTGTGGCTCAGTAAAGGAAAAGCTGGAATCTCACGCTCCTGCTACCAGTCCTGTAATTGCAGCTCTCAGTCTGGCTTAACACACTCACTTCTGTCATCAAGCTTATAATCTTGTTAATAAGGCAATCGTGACACCATCTAATATATCTATCTAGGATTATTTTTTAGAGATACACCAGGAAATTTTTTTTTGCTTCTGTCTCCTTGTACTATCTTTATGCTACTGTGCTGTATAAAATCCTTCACGTATGCTGCCATGCCCTCACCTGTATTTCCCATTCAGTCAAATTCTTCTTTTCTTATCTTCATGTTAAGGTTTCCTATTTGATGTAGAGGCTTCTGAGTTTTGTCCTTACATTAAATTTTAGCCATGTTCACCTCCTAAGTTTGGCCAACCTGAATGGTTGCTTTTCCTGGCCTTTTACTTTTCCCAACTCCTAGCTGAAGTACTCCCTAAGGCCTTTTCACTGCCAGCACCCTGGCTTAGTTAAGATTCAGGAGAATCCCATTTTTCTTGTATCTAAAGGTCCTCCAGCTGCTAACACACTTTCTGCACTGTGTCCCTTATAGATTAATCTGGAGAAACAGATCTCTCTCTGCCCTTGGTTTGCTTTCCCTTCCAGTGCTGTTCCATTCCAGCATGGCTTTATTTTTCAGAGCAAGCAGTGAAATAGTTTCCTGGCAGCTCAACTTGAGGTGATGGAAAGCACAGAGCTGAGAAACAATGCATTGCTTAAATCTGTGTTTATTTTGCCAATTGGTGGTTAATTTGGTGTACAAAAATAAATGAAAGCAGAGAGAGAGGATTTCATTCTTTTGAGGAGGAGATCAACTGCTTTGATAGCTGAATTTAAGTTCACGCTAATAGAAATTTAAGAAGTAAAGAAAGCATCTGCAGTTCAGATAGGAATATACATTTGCTGTCATGAGATTGCCTGTCAAACTGTACACATTGTGCTTTGTTACTGAAGAGAGGATGCATTGTTATGTGTTCTAAATATTAGGTTTTTTGAATAAAAATACATTATTCAGATCTCAGTTTCCTGTGATACCACTCTCACCCTATTGCAAACATTACTGAAGTCCGTTAAAATAGGAAATAACTGGGGATTGTTGAAGTGGATTTGACTATATCAGGCTTCCATTTTTCCTTTCTTAATTGTGAAGGACTTTGGCAGTAATGATGAAGCACTTAAAGAGCCAGTGTAAGAGGCTGAAATCTGAGCTACCCTATTGCTGTCATACTGCAAGTACATATAAAACCAGACTTCGTTAGTAATTGAAGACTGGAATATCTGTTTAAGTACAGTGTCACTGCCACAACTTCCTTAAGGGGCAAGACAAAGAATTTGGAGTGCTGAGATAAACTTCCATGCTATCATTAGGAGAACATTGTTCTAAAGCCATTTATATATCCCTACTCAGTATCAGGCATGTGTAAGTTTTGAAGCTTCTCTCCTTCCCTCACTTTCCCTGGTAGTGTTGCTAACTTAAATAGAATTAATTGACTTTTGAATGTGAGGAGCTGAACACTGACAGAACTTTGCAGAAGTCCCAGCAAGCAAAACAGTGCGTGCAAAATCTTTGTTTGCAATTAAAAACTCTGGGAAACTGGTCCCTATAAACTCTGGGAAATCCTGAAAGTAATTGCATCCCCTTCATTAATTCTAATTCTGCGTTGAATCCTTCATTCCTGGGTTAGCATTATTCTGTCCCACAGGGAGAGGGTTGGCAATTCACAGTTTAAGAAGAGAACTGTAAGGTCCCCTTTATTCTTTTCAGTTCTTTCCTTCTGCTGTGATTGGTCATTTAAGGTATTATAAACATCCTGCACTTGTATCCATTATTTAACCAGATAGAAATCAGAATCAGTCCTCTTGGCCCCCACACAAGTTGTTGATGGTCATTTAAGCCAAAACATGCTTGATCCTTGATTGACTAATACTGTCTCTGGTATGCTTGATTATAAATTATAATGCATGATTTGCACTTATATTTTGTCTTTTGAAGGAGAGTTCAGGCTTGCCTGTTCCTGCTGTTAATTACAACAAATTCTGGCAAATTTAGGGATCTGAAAAGCCTGTCAGATGTTGGCCTTAAGGGCTAATGTCCCAGAAGTTGGATGTAATTTGCACATAATAAATTGCTTCAATAAGATTTTGTTTCTTAGCTTAATTACATAAGTCTTTGGGGAGTTAAGCTAAATGTGAAATTAAGGGTCATGGGACCACCACAAACCTTTAGAGGTTGTGTTGATAAAATCCAGCTGTTTCTTCTCAAAAACAACCTGTCAATAAACTGTTCTTATCCACTGGTGTTCTTAAGTGATTGCAGTGATATTATGCACCTTAAAAAAAGAAAAAGAAAAAAAAAAGACAACATTAGTTGCATTAGACCATTAAATGAATTGGATAGTTAAAGACTAATCAGGTTCCCTGACCAGCTTGATTGCACATGTTACAAGGTCAACTGCAGATGTACTGGATGTCCAGGCTTTGGATAAAATGGCTTTGAGTCAATGAGTGGGAATATTGATTCTCTCTAGAGAAGTCCTTATAGATGCAGATCACACAGCCTTGAGCGGGGCTGTACTTAATTGCAAAGCTGTGGAGAAGAGCATTGGGATTTGCATAGGTGGGAAGAAGAAGTTTTAGGATCTTCACATCTGTGGACGAAATGTAGACTGACTGAAGAAGACCAGTGCAGGGTGTAGAAAGAAGCAGCTTGCACTGGAACTTTAGTGTAGAGGAAATAGCAGCAAGGCTTAAGTATTTTTGGAGCGGGGGCTTATTTTAAAGCAAATTAGTGGTGTTGCTACATTTCAGACTTCGATGGGGAAACTATTCCTTTCAAAATATCAACATCTTACTTCATGTTTGTTAACCTGAGTTTGATAATGCACTCTGTTGCTATCTTTAAATAATCAAATACCAGTCTTTTTTAAGAAGTATAATGTTAGTTTTAAAATTATCACATGACTATTAACAATCCTCTCATCTAACTTAGAATTTCACTTTTGTAATTTTCTTTAATCATTCATGACTGAGATTATAAATAACATCAGGAAGGAGCCATTAGTTCCTATACAGAACAACCTGTGTGCTATGAATAAAAAGAAACATTCACCATACAACACGTAGAACATTTGAAATATATTTTAAACCTAGACCTTCAGCCAGAGCTGAATATGCATGACAGAGATGCTTTTTATAGTAGTACAAAAAAACCCACACCATTTGGCTTCTAGGCACTTGTTTTCTGTAATGCAGATCTGCATATTTTTAGAATGTCCCAAGTAATAGGGTAATGTCCTTCCAAAAGAGGATTTATACATCAGTGAACATTATAAGCAGTTAAGATACAGACAATATGTCCATCCTTTTAAAATATTGACAATACACTTCTAGGTGCTTGTAGAGTGAATGACCTTCATATGGTGTCTTGGATAGAATCCCCAGAGAATCAGATCTGGAAAATCCTTTCTGACCATTAAAAGCAGACAGGAAAACCTCTTCTTGGATACATGAACCTTGATTGCATCGTGGCTAGGAAGAACATTGTGCATGAGCCTGAAGATAGTGGTGTGTAGATATCATAATTCTGGACCTCCAGGTCCTTCACTTGCCTGCCACCTATTAGCTGTAGCTAGAAGATGGCTTTGCTAAATCTTTAAGAGCAGTGCTACATTTAGCGTTGGTTCTGTTTGCCATAGCTAGGAGGTGGGTTTGTTTCTGGTTGGAGCCCTTGGCCAGCCCTTGAGCTGATGGCAGACAGTGTTTCTCTCTGTGTGCTGAGGTCTGTATAGTGAAGGACTCTCTCTGCATGAGGACTAGACACAGTCTGCATCAACATGGCCTAAGACTTTACTGATCCCTTTATCTCTTCTCCTTCCATCTGTCTTTGCAAACACGCATAAATGCATTTGCGTGAACAGGCTTTTAAAATTCCTTAAGGCAATTTCTAGTATATGATAAAGATTATAATGTCCTTAAAAACAGAATAATCTTGCCAAGACAGAAAGCAAACGTGAGGAATATCTGCTTTGACAGACAATAATAAAGATGTACATGCGGTGACAATTATTTTGCACAGACATTCTTTGAGATACCCCTAACAATTATGGGTCAGAGTCTTCTGTACATGTACATGACTGTCCAAAAAAATGTCAACAACCTGAAGGGACCACCCAGTCTGTGTTAGATTTGTTGCCCATCTTTATAGTAGAAAGGCACTTCTCCCTTTTCAGAATATGAAAGTTGTCCAAAATTCCAAGTACTTCCATGCACACATCATTAATCTTTTTGTATGGGGATGCTATCATTCCTGCAATCCCTGTTGCTACTGATATATGCATATTAATAGACAAATGCTGATGGATTTTTCATGCCAAATGTAGTATTCTACCTTTTATTTCTTGTAAGATATTCCACAAACCATTTGGATAATGGCGTTTTATCAGGAACTGGCTTAATGCTTGCTACATTTTTCCAGGGAAAAATTGAGGAAATGGGGAAGGGGAATTGCAGCAGGGCTATTTTTCATCATCCAGGAGCAAACAAGAGTTAGATTTTAGTAAGAGAAGAAAAGAGGATTGCTAACTTTGATCCAAATTGCAGGCTGGATAACTTTGTTGCAGAGAAGTTACAGCATCAAACAATACAGAGCGAGCAGATTGCTGCTGAGGTAGAAGTGTGATGTTTTCTTGCTGTGCTTTTTAGAACATTCTTCCGTGCCACACCTGATAGCCAGCCCTTCAGAACAGCATGTAGGTCAGAGGGCTGCTAAGTTCAGTGAGGCACTCAGAATTCAAACATAATTAGGGAAGGCTTTTGAAAACCAAAGTTAACCTTTCGAGGCATTTAACAGCTGTGAGGTCAGACTTTCAGCATATTTTAGATGAATAAATGCTGTACAGTGTTTCTATAACTCGGCCTTGTTATTTTGTTCTCTTTTAGAGTTTCTTTGCAAGGAATGCCCAAGAGTTCATATTTTCATTGATCGAATTGAACTGAAGGACATTCCAGAAGAGCAGATGTATATGAGAAGGTGGCTTCATGAACGTTTTGAAATAAAGGATAAGTGAGTAGCATTGAGCTGAACTTTCTGTTTCAAGAGGCTTGCTTTCTTCTTTGATATTTATAGATATGCCTGTGATCTCTGTGTTACCAGTAGTGCAAGCTGTAGGACTTTCTGAGGACAAGTTGTGTTGATACGCCTGTGCATGTTATTTTTAATACCTCTGTGATTAAAGCTAAAATCCATAGGTTTTAGGCCTTTCTTAGAGCTTCAGAAGTGTGTTCCAGGCCAGACTCATACTCAGAGTTATATATAATTTATGTTCCTGAGGCTGAGTCGTGTGCATCCAGCAATGCAAGATTCTCAAGGCAAAGAAGCAAAGAGAAAGGAGATTTGCTCTGGCTTAGTAATTACCCTTGTGGCTAGACCTTCCTAACTTTGGTAGGTCTTGATCCAATCTCTTTTACCAAAATTGTGCATGCATCTTCCATCAGGTAGTGATTGGATAAGAACAGAAGTAATCCACAGACGCCTACCATCTATTCCTATTGCCTACCATGGGAAATTAGGTAAATTTTTAACTGTCCCAGCCACCTTTGAATCATGGCACAAGCGCTTGGATCTCTCCAGCACCTCTAAATAAGGTCACTAATGAGCATTGTGTGCCAAAATAAAGATGTACCTAGATGTGGGATTTAAGTATTGTCAGATGTTGATTTGCCATGTCCAAAGTCCAACCTAAGGGAGCTGAATCGTTTTACCTTCTAAATCACTGAATATGTTACGTGAGTCAGAAATTTGCCAGGTACTTCAGGTGTGCTTGCTTTAAAATTATTCTGGCATTCCATGGAAGAGTAAGTAAATGGATGAGTTTGACCTGTGATTTTTGAAAAATTAACACTTATCTGTAAACATGGCACTGTTATTAAAGTGACTTCAAAGTTGAGAATCCGTAGGTAATTTCATTTCCTAGACGAGGAACTGGTATGTAGCACGGAAGGCTGTTCAGTGTCCCACAAGCAGTCTTCTAGTGAAGACCTGCAAAATAGAACAGTGATCATCTTCATCCCATTGTAGACTCCTGTTGACTGGAATCCTCTCTGGTACCAAAATAATCTGTCGTGCACATTTAGAACTGCAAAAACCTAGAATTTTCAAATCGTTCATTACTGTTTATGAAAGATAGAGAAAAAAATTACTACTAAACCTGTAGTGTCACCTTTTACTCGTGTGTGTTTGACTTCCAAAATACTTTGTCCTGTGAGTCCTTGTTATTTATTAGTTTATTTCATGAAGATACTTTACCTCCCACTTCAATTTCTAATGACTGTGTGATATTTTATCCTAAGACATTGCCCAGTACTCTTGGCTTATTTGCTGAATCCTGAATGAAGAGGGTTATTTTTCAACCTTTATATCCAATATTGAAATTGTTCCCTAAGGAAAATACGCTTTTACTGCTGACAGGGCTTCAGATTGAGTGCTCTGATGCTTGATGTTACTTTTAGACCACATTCTTAAAGCATACCAATTGTTTGAACGTGCTGCAGATGAGCTGCTACCTATTGTTAAATTGTTGGATAAGCAACATGTCATCAGTAGCAAAAATATGACCATCTACTTTTCTCTGTTTATAGGTTACTAATAGAGTTTTATGATGCAAAGGATTCTAAAAGAAGAAACAAGTTCCCTGGAAAAAGTGTTCATTCCAAATTAAGCCTCAAGAAAACTTTGCCATCTTTGCTGTTTCTAGGTGGCCTGACTGCTAGTATGCTTCTGACAGAATCTGGAAGGAAACTTTATGTAAAAACGTGGATATATGGGACTCTAATTGGCTGCCTGTGGGTTAGCATTAAACCATAAGCAGATGTTGTCTCCGGTCAGTATGATGTGCTGTCTTTTCTTGCACATTGCACCAAACTTTTTCCCAAATTTATAGTAAAAACGTGTAAATAAAGCCTTATCGACTGAACATTGGAAATAATAGAATTTGTGACCTAACCCTCTGTGTGGTTGGTCTGGGGAAAACAAATGTAGTTTTTCAAATTTGCTACTCATTTTTGCTGGAATAACGGCAGATAAACTGGGTCGTATGATAAATGGCTTTCCCTATGAACTAACACCCATCTCTATCTGCAGATGAAGTATGAGTTATGCGTAAGGGTGTCTTAAGTGGACCTGTGAATGTATTTACAGAGATTAATTTAGGTTATATATTTATTCTTCTGATATTCATGTTGAATTTTTGTTACTCCTTGGTGCATTGCAGCAGCTCAGTTGCATCTGCCCCAGCTGAATCGCAAGTAAAATCAAAACCTTTTTTTCTCTGGAATTTTGTTTTTCAGTTTCAACTAAATACTGTGTTCTCAGAAAGGGCCTGGAAAGCTGGCAAATCATGAGACGCTCCCTAAAGCAGAATAAAACATTGATGGGGAAGGAGCTCTGTTTATCTAGTGCATGATTTTTGATTCTATTGCAGTATTAGCCGATTATTTTACATATGCAAAACATAAACCTTACTGAGCAAACAGCTTATTTTGCGCACCCTGTATCTGTGCATAAAAGGAATGTGTGCAGTATAATGACATGGTTTTTTATTTTGTGGCCTAGCCGGGCTGTAGCCCTCCTTGTGTCTGCGTTGCCCGCAGTGCGTGGGGCCTTCCAGCTGGGCTCACAGATTCGCCATGTCCACGTGCCATAAGCAGCAGTGAGCGCTCACAACTCCCTGTTACCTCACCAGCGTTGGGTGTGAGCTGTGCCCTCTGTGTAACACGCAGACCCACGGTAGCTTCAGGAGCGTGGGTTATGGTAGCAAGCAACCTTCAGGTGTCCCTGTGAAATACGAAGCACGTGCCTTTTCCCGCTAGTCTGACTTAGCCTGATGTCTCATAAGCTGGCACCCATCTCAGTGTTGTAGTATCACATTCGATTTCCAAGGCATCCCAGGCGATGCAGATTTCAGGGGGACTGAAGTTACAGGGTTGATGAATAAAACTTGCACAACAGTCTAGGAATGAAAGAAATGTGCATCCTTTCACCTGCCTGTAAACGTACTTCTAAAAGCAGAATCACCAAACCTTCACTATCAGAAAGTCTGTGATTGCCACAGCTGGGATTTTTGTTGGGGAAATGCCATTTCCTGATATCAAGGGAATTGTCCATATGTACAGCAACGGAGTAGGAAAGAGGATGTATTTTAGCTTCTTCCACTAAGGAATCAGACTCCCTGTGTGAAAATGATGAAAGAACTAGAGAATATTTTTGTATCACACTTGCAAGCTTTAAATGTGCACCTCTTTTTTGCTTTGGTATGATTTGTATTGCATTAAAATCCACAATGAATTAAAATATCTCTCTGAAGATTATAACTCCATTTTTCAGATTCCACCGTTGCCAATTAATTGGAGATACTGCTTCTACTGCGGATTTTGTTTCTTGTTGGCTTTTTCTTTGTTTGATAGAATGATGACAGTTCCACCTTAAAATCATTTGGTACAGCTTTCAGGTTGCAGCTCTGTGTCCTCCCATAATGGATTTTGTCACTGGAGTTATTTATATCGGTGATTGATTCAGGATATGTTGATGAACCATGTTAAAAACAATGACTGGGAACAATGTAGAAAAACAGTATTGTTATGAGGCTGTGAAACCAGAAGAAAAAAAAAAAAGCCATTTTATGTAACAGCCAAATGTGCTCACTTGTAGCTCTTCCTATGCTCCTCTGACCATTGCCAGTGAGTGTAACCTGAAGGCAGTGTTATCGAGTTAGTTTGATTTTGAATCATGGAATGAAATTCTACTCTGTCATGATTAAATTTCTTTGTAGCAGCTAAGAATAACATTTAATTACACATCAGAAGTATACGCAGACAGCTTAACTCATTTGTAGAAAAATAAATGCTGTTCTGGAGAGCCTAATTACCACAAAATACTGGACCTCTCTTACTGTTTACTTGTCAGGAATATAATTGACACAGTGCAACAAGCAGGATGTTTATTTTGAATGTTACTTTCTATGTTACTCTTAGTTGGTTTTTTTTTCCTTGCAATTAATTTATAAAGTTTTGAAACTGTAATTTGCTGATGTATTTGGCACTGGGAGTATCACATGCTATTTCTAAATATGCACTGATATTAACTTGAAATATTTCTTCATTAAAATAAGAAGAGCTGATGCTCATTCAACTTTTCTGTTCTGTCTGCTTGATCCATTTTTTCTATGTTCTTATGTTTGCTATTCACAGAATAAGGACATGTGTGTGGTTTTGAGTCCTTGGTAAAAGCATTTGTGTAAGAAGGAGTCAGTGAAAAGAAAACATCCTTGTCCTTTTCTTCTTTTTTTTGCAGCTAAAATGTGTCAGAACTACTTTGTGCTTTGGATCCCAACTCGGTACAAGAAGGACATAGAACTCTTGGAGCAGGTCCAGAGGAGGGCCACTAAGATGATCAGAGGGCTGGAGCACCTCTCCTAAGAGGAAAGGTTGAGGGAACTGGGCTTGTTTAGCTTGGAGAAGAGAAGGCTCCAGGGAGACCTCATTGCGGCCTTCCAGTACTTGAAGGGAGCATTTAAACAGGAGGGTGAACAGCTGTTTATGAGGGTGGATTGTGATAGGACAAGGGGGAATGGTTTTAAACTGAGACAGGGGAGGTTTAGGTTAGATATCAGGAGGAAGTTTTTCACACAGAGAGTGGTGACACATTGGAACAGGTTGCCCAAGGAGACTGTGGATGCCCCATCCCTGGAGGCATTCAAGGCCAGGCTGGATGTGGCTCTGGGCAGCCTGGTCTGGTGGTTGGTGACCCTGCACATAGCAGAGGGGTTGAAACTAGATGATCATTGTGGTCCTTTTCAACCCAGGCCACTCTATGATCCTATGAACTCAGCCAACACATAGCCAGTTGGGCTGTAATAGCTTTTACACCTGCACCAGTTGCTGCTTATTAATAATGTTCATTCAGGTGCAAAACCACAACAAGCAAGAAATGGGCTCTGCTGCAGTGGGTCTTGTATAGCCAACTCTGGACATAAGCAGGAGATGGGAAGAGGTACTGCAAACACATGAAGTGTGTATCAGTAGTAAATGTCATGTAAGTTTTAGTGATGTGTTATATCTGAGGAGCGACCTGCATTCTCAACAGCACCTCATTATTCCTGTTGTATCTGCGCCCCTACAAAGAGATTTCCCTCCACGCAAATATTGTTCTTCTGTGTCAGATGTATGTAAACCTTTGGTATTCAGCAGCACTCAACAGCTGTTAGTTACAGAATTTCACATTTATGCTTACTTCTGTGGAAGGAAATGGGCTAATAAGGAAACATTAACTGAAATAATGGAGAACATAAAAAGTGAAGTAAGATAGAAAACTAAAGTGATGCTGTGATAAAGAAATGACTGAGCAGGATGGCAGGGGAAGATGGAATGAGAAAGAAGAGAAAGACGAGTCCAAATCAGACATTTCTCCAAAGCTCTGTGCTTGGACTGGCTTTATGGCTGCTCCAACTTACTGCAGCCTTTTGCTGTCTCCTCCAAAGCATTATTCTTTGATTTTTCTCCCTTCAGTATACCACTCTTCCCCCTGCAGCATACCACTACAACTTGGCGGGAGCATATTTTTAGTACTTAAAAATTGGCACCTGATTATTTTGGCATTTTGGAGCGCGTAGACTGTGTACTCACCTTGAGGGATGGAAAGGTAACTATTTTAGGAGTGGATAATGAAGGAGCCAGGAGGAGGTTTGGGGATTAGCGTTGCTAAAAATGATGAAAGGCTTCTCCCCTCCCCGACCTCCAAATAAGAAACCCTTCTAATGGCACAAATTTCAGGTCAGCCATGCCTGAGAAGGCAATGGAAAAAACAGCTAATGGGTTTGAGATCTTGTCACCTTCTTTATAAAGTCTTTATAAAGGCTTTTCCATTGTAAATATGGATAGCAGTGGTTAGCTGTAGGTCAGCTTGGCTCTGATGACAAGGCTTGGAACATGATGGGGTTTCTCTTGTCCTCATTCTTTTCACGTCCTTGTCTGTCTCATCAGCTTGGAGCTCTAGCAAAGGAGATCTTAGCATTTTCAGAATTTGCTAAGCATACAACAGCAAAAAAAGAAAGAAAAAAAGAAAAAAAAAAAAGTTATTTTAAATTTGTATAATGGTAGATGACATACAACTGAAACAAAATACATAATAATCCAGTGAAAGAAAAGCAGCAGTAACCTAATGCAGAAAGATTAGAAACATCAGCTCCAATCCAGCAAAAATCACGTGTGATTGATTCCAGGGAAGATCTGTTTTCCATGTGGGGACAAATTTCCTTGTCACCGTGGTGAATGTTTCTCCTACCAGTCCTCTTTCAGTCCCAGATCTGTACCTCCACCCTTGCTTGACTGGTCTGGTGTTCTCCTAACAGAATCCCTCATCACCAGAGTGTGATTTTTCAGACACTGCTGTGATTCTCAGGTTTCCTCCATTCTCCTCTCTGACCCCCAACTATTTTTCTACTTGTATTCAGCTAGATAAACTGCTAATGGATCATTGTTGCTTACCTCCTTCAAGCTACATTCTCCTCTTAAGGACTGTACTGGGTGAGGAAAGCCTCTGGCTCCTTGTGAAGAGGCTGAGACATGTTGCTAGTGTCTGAGACACGGATTTTGCTGTTTAGAGAGGTTATTTGTAGGTCTGTACTGGATGTGTTGGATGGGTTTCTCCTTCATTTCCATTGGAATGTGCTCTTCCATTGACAGGCAGTTTGCACAGCTGTAAGTAAATACACAGGCTAGAAGCTACCCTTAAAAATGATCTTCCTGGCACATATTTGTAATATGAAAACTTTGTTAGTTACGCTTGTACAAACTGTGTTTCACAGCCATTCTGCTTCCCTTTTATCTTGTGTGGGAACTCAGCTTTCGAATGGCATTTTGATGCCTCGTGTTTGTCTTCCCTGCATGACTAATTCAAACCAGAATTGCTTTAACCTGTTTGCCTCCTTAGGAGACTAGCCCAAAATAACACAGAGGAGACAGATGTCCAGAGGCAGAAGTTGCTGTCTGGCTGTGTGGTGCCATCCCTAACTCCTGCCCCCGGGTAGAAGACAGAGGAATGTCCAAATCCCCTGCCTCTGCTCAGCCACTGGTCTAGGGTGTTTCTTTACCTGAAAATGAAGAGCCTAAGGACAAAGTAGAGCCAGAGATTGTCCCTGTGCGTGCTGGCTGTTGTAGCCTGGAGGCTCTGGTTACAAAATGAGGGAAAGGGGGAAGGATTCTGTTTCGAAGTGGTGTTCATATCTGAACTTGAGCCAGCAATGCACTCAGGTGGCCAGGAAGGCCAAGGGCATCCTGGCTTGTATCAGAAGTGGTGCAACCAGCAGGAGCAGGGAAGGGATTGTCCCCTTGTATGCAGTGCTGATGGGACTGCAGCTCGAATATTGTGTTCAGTTTTGGGTCCCCCACTGCAAGAAGGGTATTAAGTTGCTCAAGTATGTGCAGACAAGGGGAATGAAGCTGGTGAAGGGACTAGAAAACAAGAGTTATGAGGAGAGGCTGGGGAACTGGGATTGTTTAGTTCGGAGGAGAGGAGCCTGAGGGGGAGACTACATTATTTTCTACAGCTACTGAAAGGAGTTTGCAGCAAGGAGGGTGTTGATCTCTTTTTCCAGGTGACAAGTGATGGGACCTGGAGAAAGGCCTCAAGCTGTCCTAGAGGAGGTTCAAATAGGTTGTTGGGAAGAATTTCTTCATGGAGAGAGTGGTCAAGCTTTGGAACAGGCTGCCCAGGGCAGTGGTGGAGTCCTCCTCCCTGGAGATATTTAAGGGAAGTGTGGATGTGGCTCGGTGACAGGACTCAGAAGGTCAGGTTGATGGTAGGACCTGGTGATTTCTAAGGTCTTTTTCCAACCCAAGTGATTCTCTGTTTCTGTGATTTTTAGAGTGGGGTTTGTTTGGATCAAACCTGTTACCTCAAGGGCTCCAGCAGATGCAACCCTTGTCACTGCTACACCAGCTTTGGTCCTAGAGTTGCTGCATCAAGACCCTCCTTCCCCCATCTTTGTCAGATCCTCCCATGAAGGTTGAAATTGCCAAAGTGATTTTGCTCCTCTGGATGCAGCAAGCCTCTGGCGTGTATAGCTGTGCAGCTGTTTCATCCAATTGGGACCACAGGGGAAATAGAGAGGGAAAAGTTAATTTGCATTTGGCAAGATGTGAGAGTTAACACTTCAGTGATCTCAGAAAGTATCGAGTGCTGTTCAACATCATTAGGCACAAATAAGAGAATATGCAGAGTTCTCATTCCTGAAACTTGAACTTAAGGTATTAAGTTAAATTACTTTTCATTCTGTATGCATAATACTCCTTGGTTAAGATTTTTCACTTATGTTTTAACAAGCATTGACATCCATATTCTAGGAGACACATTATTGGCATTGCCCTTATATTAGTTTGCTCTCATGTCTTTCAAAGTCCGATTTGATGAAAAGAGTATTAAAATGTACTTCTTGTCACATGAAGAATATAAAAAGTTTGTTCTACGTCAGGGTGCTTTAATAAATTGCTCTTGATCACAAAGTGTTCAGTTGTTATGGTCAGGTACTGATAAAAGGGGGAAAGATATTTAAAAAACACTTTGTTAATAGGGAGGAAGAATAAATTAAAATGAAGAATTACTTCCTCCTGAAACCACATAATTGTACATAGGACTCAGTTGCAGTCCTAGGCTCGTCTGCTCTTCTAATAGCAGCAGATTAAATGCAGGTGAAAAACATGATCTACGCTGCTTTTTAAAAGGACAAAAAAGTAAAAAATTGCTGAAGGAACGGTGCTTTTATTGTCCAAAAAATGACCAGAAAATATTCCAAAGACCTGACAAGTAATTTTGCATAGCAAATAGTCCTAGTGCCAGTACAGGATATGGTATTGTCCTCTGTGTTTAAACAGTAATAAGAGATTGTGTCTATGTATCCTGATACTGTCAGTTGTATTCCTGTCCTGTGACAAGATAACAACTGATGCAAGGAGCTGCAATATCTAAAAAACATCCCATTCTGCATCACCATGTTGGGGATTCCAAGTGGCTGCTGTCGCTCACTTGGCAGTGTCTGCTGTAGAAGGCAATAGGAACATGCACAGCACCTGCAGTAGGAACATGTACAGCACATCCATAGCCTGGATAGAGGGATTTCTGGTAGAGCAAATGTACTTC